TATATATATATATATATATATATGCACGCAAACCCCTCTACACATGTCACCTTCTTCCTCCAAGAGCTTCTCCTTCAATCATATCCTGTACGCAGCTTCAGCTCTCCTCTCCCGCCCCTTGTCTCGCTCGACCTTCCACGTCGCCTCCCTCTTCCCCAAGCATCCTTATTGTGCGCTAGGAGAAAACCCTAACTGCACGCAAGAACGACATCATTGGCTCGACTCGGACCAATGTAGGCTCCCTCAACTCACGAGTTCTCTTCTTCTTCTCCCGTTGCCACCTCCTCCTCCTCCTCTTTCGCACGCAATGATCCTCTTCTTACCTCACGACTTCGTATTCTCGGGTAAGAAAAACTCTCAACACCTCTCCTTCCTCTGTTCTCTGGCTGTACACCTAAGAGCTCCCATCTCATGCGTTAATTTATAGGGCAAAGTCATCTCTTCGGCTTCCGACCCCCTTGTTTCCTCTCCCTTCTTTTCAGTTGCCCAACTCCTCTTTTTCTCTTCTTCGTTTCTTTGTTTCCTCTTCTGATTGTTCATTTTTTCTTCCCCGGGTAATTGAAACGGGGCTTTACACTATAGACAAAAATATTTGACCAAATCAAATAAAAGATTGACCTCAAAATCAAACAATCTTTGAAGATTTGTATTTTCTTGATTGCGTGACTAACCTACCCATCAAAGAAACTTAAATTAAATTTCTTAATTATTCTCCATTGGGTTTGGAGGGATAAGGGGTCGACCATGATCTTGCATAGAGAGTTTTGCATGATGATAAACTCAAACCTTAATGAAATGGCTTGGTTTATGATTTTTTTTTTGGCTTTTGTGTTGGTGCTGCATTTTATTTAATGAAACTTTAATTTGATGTCAAATTACCCAAAATTTGAAGCTTTATTCTTCTTGTAGTGATTCCAAAAGCATTATATATGTTGCCTAGAAACTAGGGCTGTTATCGAGCCGAGTTGAGTTGAGTATGTAATGGATTGAACTTGGCTTGATCGAATCATAAGTTGTTCATTCTATATTCAAGCTTGATCAACTTTTCATATATATGTTCATACTTGACTTGCTTAAATATAATAATGATCTTACTTTATTTGTAAGTTTTTGTATTAATTGAATGTGTTAGGAATTCAAATGAGGACTTAGTTTTTTTTAAAAAATTTAAAATTTGATTTGTACTTGATTATTCATATAAAGTTCCAAAACAAGCGAAAAATTCGAAGAAGTACTTAATTTTTTTACATATTAAAGTTATTAACAATTAATTTTACAAATCTAAATTAATAACCAATTGAATAAATTTCAAAACATCTAACTTGTATTAAATGAATAAAATAATATCTAAGTTATAAGTAAGTTTTTTTACCATCGAATAACATAAATATGTACTAACAAATTATTTGATTCAAATAAAAAAAAGAAGAAATTACATTGAATTTATATGTATATTAATATTAAATTATAATATATTACTATTAAACATATAATTATGCTTTATTCCAAATTGTATTTAAATAATGTCTCATAAACATGTAGACGCTGGTGTTTTTTCCCGCACGATTTTCTTATGGTATTGTAGTTGCTACAATACCATGGGAAAATAAATAGCGGCTGATGAGATTCGGGCTGCCAAAGCAATCCCGTTTTCCTTTCTTATTATTTCTTTCCTATTATCCTTGTTCCTTTTAAGCCCTTCCTTATATATGTGTGTATTAGGGGTTGGATTAGCGGCTTTTGTGAGTTTTATTTTAGATTTATATCAGGATAGCCGCTAGTGCTTTTTCTTTCTTCGAGGGTTGTATCTGAGAGATTGGGTGGTGATCCGACTGTATCTCACTCCTGAGGTAGTGATTCTTCCGCATCTTCCCACCTTGCTCCTTGCCGCCGTATCTCGCTGCAGCCGACCACAATAGCATCCCATTGTTTTCTGTAGTTCCAGCAACCTCCATCGCCTTCTCCTCCGTTGTTCTCGCTGCCCTCGTTGTGCCTTCGTTGCCGCGGCCTGCAACACCTTTCCTTTGTTGTTTCACTGCGGTCCTGCAACCTCAAACAACAGCCTGCTATTGTGTGGACTGCACCCCCGTGCTGTCCTGCTATTCCAGCTGACCATAACC